TGAAATATCGATAATATCGACGAAATATCGAGGATATTTCGGTTTTTTCGAATCACGGATATTTCGGAACATATTCATGTACGTATCGTATAAATATCGACGATAATATCGGAAAATATTGATGTCGATAATTTCGCTCACACTTCAACAATATTTTGTCAAAATATCGATGTAATATCGCTAAAATATCGAAAATATCGATGTAAAGGAAAAAGAAAAAAACGAAGGAAAAAAAAAACACAAAGGGGATTTAAACCCCTCCCATTTTACTCCTCCAACACCTTAACCACCATATATCACTTATGTTTTAGTGATAATATGCTAAAATATTTATATTTACATGGGTGACATGTTAACAATTACATGTAATCTATTTTGGAGATTTATCATTTGATGAATACTCTTCATAATACACTTACTCTACCCATAGAGATGATGAAGATAGTGAAAAATTTAAACATCATAGGAACTCTATGTAATCTAAGTCAGTCATGTATCTTACCATGCAATGTATAAAGTGTAAAATATTGTAGTAAATCATTATATATAAATGATTATGGTATGTTTAATCTTTTTTCATTAATTACTACATATTTTCTACACTCACAGTATTTGCTAGCTCACTGTATAATCAACTTAAATCAGTTAAATCCATCATGTAATGCATTTCCTTCTAATTTTTTATTATAAACTAATAGATAATTGACTAAATAAACATTCTCCAAAGTTTCAATAAAATTTTTCGAGTTTTTCTTACAATTTTCGTGGTTTTTATTCAATTTTTATCTATATCAATAATATCCCGATATTTCCATCGAAATTTCTATGTTTTTGGACTATAGATATTTCCGATATCATCGATATTTTAGACGTCACACACTAATATTAAATAACTCAAAAAATAGCAAAAAAGGGAAAGTGGGTCAATGAAAATAGGAATGTAAAAGTTGAAAATCAAAATCCACATCGCACTAGGAAACTCCCCAAAACTATATACAAGTTAGCACAAACAAACCCACTACACACAATTCCTTTCGAATATCTGAAGCTGATCTGATCATCTAACTCAAGGAAGCTCTCTGCTGAATCATGGGTTTCGTAAGAGATTCATGAGTGAAGATTTTATTTTATTTTTTCGGTCGAAAATAAGTGAAGATGGGGAGGGGGATTTGTATGCAAGCAAGGAACATATTGGGTCGAGCTTCTGATCATATGGCAATGGACCATTATGCTCCTCAATCTCTAAAGCTTATGCTTCGCTCAATTCAATTTCCTCCCCTCAATGCACGTCGCTGCCTAAGTCCAAGTGACCAAAAGTTCTTCAAATCAAGCCATCCCGCTTGTAAAACAAATAAGTTTGATTGTGTTGGATCAATTGAGGGTTGGTTGATTATGGTTGATAATCAATTTTGGCATCCAGATGGTTTCAATAATTCCATAAACATTCCATGGTCTTTGTTCCACTTGCTTCACAACAACCGCAAGTGTTTGAACTTCTTCTTCGACCCGAAATACGAGGACCGGGTGATGCTCCCGTCGCAGTCCACCGTCCCGTGCCATGGCAGCAACCAACCAAACTTCTTCAAGAAAGTGGTGGCCTCTTCGTCACCAACAGCAAGCCAGGATTGTCTTGTGGCTGCTCTTTGCTCGGGAGGCCGTCTGGCGTTCTGTACACCGTCTGATCAATCATGGACACTCATTGATCAAGGCAGCGCTAGAGGGGTCGAGTTTTGCGACGTGGAAATCATTGATGGGAAATTGCACGCTGCATTGAGTAACGCACCGGAGCTTTTGATGGTGTTTAAAATCGAAAGCGGTGCGAATCGGCCACGTACCTATTTTGCTCAATATTTGGTCAGGCTTGAGCCCGTGCCAATTCCTTCACATGCTACCACAAAGGATGGAGGGCAAGAGGGTTCTGCATTGAAAGAATTGTTTATGAAGAATGTTCTTCATCGGAATTACAGCTTCGATCTTGAGGAGGAGGAGGAGGAGGAGAAGGATCCAGTAGGGTTTGGACCTGGAAATCTCAGGAGAGTGATCAAACAAAACTGGTTAAACATCCAGCGGATGCAACATCAAGCTCAGGGTGGCCCAGGCTCACGTCAAGCTCTTGGCCTACTTTGCTTAGTTAAATAATAGTTCCGCAGTTTGCCTCACAC